GCGACCTAGGACCTAACATATAACAGTTTGCCCTGCGAGCTAGTCAGGGTGATGTCTTTGTGCATTTTTCACCATCAGCGTCTATTGAATAAGCATCCCACAATAGGTCCACTGGGGGAGGGGAGGGGCATGGCATGCGCATACTGTAGATAATAATTTTTGCAACAGCATGTAGATCTACAGTATGAGTATGACCTATCAGAAAAACTTTGTCACTTTTGGGTCCTCAAAACAGGCCCTTTTATACGAACAAACATCCGAGCGTGTGTTCCAGATGCAGTCAACGTCTGGTTCTGTTCCTTGGTTGGGTCACATGGGGTACGGATGAGTAAAAGAAAAAACGCGGAAGGACGGATGGTGGCTCTTTAGGAAAAGTGACCATGCCTTTCAATGTAAACTAAATAGCTTACACTACAGCTTACAGTCCTAATTCAGGATTTTCCCCCCATCATTCTGATTTATATTTTGTTCTCACTGTGCTATTGAGCTAAACCTAATGAAATGTTGCCCTGTGCTTAAAAGGAGAGTAAAAAAGGAGAAATGAGAGGATTGTACTTGACTCCGCCCCCTCTCCCCCTCTCTACCATCCTACCTATAAATAGATGGAAGTTTGACTCATGTCAAAGGTTGGGAGGTGGCTGACGATTCGGGAGGTGGCTGCGGGTTGACGAAAGGGAAAAGCGCGTCGGCTATTTGGAACTGAGGACCCCAGGCTTTACTGATCCTGCCCAAGTGAAACAACGCATTAAAGTCACGAGTCATTAAGAACGAGGTAAACAATGTCGTTGTTAAGTATCAAACTTTGGGACAACTAGACATAACAATACAGCTAGTCGTTGGTCATCGCTTTGCAACGTCTCACAATAACTAACTGGTGAGAAAGAACAGGCATGTATTGTGTACATGTAAGGTTATCGAGTGAATTTTGTTATGTGAAGCTCACAAACGCGCCCTTTGCGATCATGAAAAGGGTGATTTGTCGGGGAACAGGGGTATTTTTCGCTAACGTTATGCAGGCTTTTCGAAATTTTTTGCCCACTCAACAAAATGAATCGGCGTTCTCAGACGCGTTTGTCACTGGAATATTCCATGACCGTCTGAAGCAAGGTGGAATTTACCGTCTGGATTAATAGCACAGTCTTCATTTGGAAAGGAGAGATCCAGCTTTGTCTTGAAGAAATCCAGTCTGGGTAGTGGGACGATAATTCCAATCACGATGGTATCCTGAACGTATTAATAGCGAAACATTTCTCTTCTTTTTGCTCTTTTTCAACAAAGCTTTCAGGCACGTTGACGCTGTTTATGGGATCCTCTAACACAGAAGTAAAACGCCCATAGCAACCTAACAAGCTCTAGATACGTTTAAAGTAGCCGTCGATGAAATTAGAAACATTTTATACGTGTTCCATCAACAAAACAGACCACAGAGAAACACGCTTCCAAGAGACTCAGACATTACAACACCAACGAAATTTCTGCAAAGTAGGCCTGTGACATAATAGTTTTTCAAATTGTGACAGTTTCTTGAAGCAAAATGAAATCAATGCACTATCAATCTTCGACTCCTACAAATTCCAGGACGATCAAAAGTCGTTTCCTACAGTTCTTTTAGGATTGTTTACTGAAACATTACGGTTTTGCATTATAAAATCAAGCTACAAACAGAATTATAAGTATTACGGTTTTGCATAAAATCAAGCTACAAACAGAATTATAATTAATACATTGCAGTGACATATTTAAGTCTGCACATGCACGTACAATTCTGGGCCTTTATTCAGCGCTGAAGGAGTACAAACGCGACTCAACATTTATAGAAGTGGGCAAAATCCTAGCTCTGGTGTGGTTTGCTCCTGCTTTCCTATCAAACATCTGTCGTCTTTATCTCCCCTCCTTCTTTTTCATGTTTGTTACTCCCTTGTAACACCTCTAATCTTCCAGCGCTCATTTGACTTCACGGAGTTGCGAGCGCCGTAAAACCTCTAATAAAGCAAACATAAAACAAATAGTAAAATCCTAGAAATCGCACTGACGTTTATGTCCATCCATAAAGACATCATTGACAGCATGCCCAACTTCGTCAACAGAATAATGGACACTTTTGCTGCAGCAAAAGAACGAAAGGAAGACTTCTTCTTCAAATAGAT